TTCAGCGAGGAAAATTCCTTGTCGACTTTCGCCCAGGTCGCTGCATTCTTAGCGCCTGAGTTCTCCAATGCCTTCGAAAGACGCTCTAGTTTCGCGTCGAGTATCCCGATTAAAGCGGAACACTGACAGGGGTCTTTCGGGATCTGCACTGGGGATTGGGTACCGTTTCGGATGACTCTTCCCTTCGCTGCTGGCGTCGCGGGCAGGATATTCCCCACGCGGCTGCAGTTTTATTGGAATTTGTTTATACAAACTCGGAGTCCAAGCGGGCACGGAATTCGTGGCCTCGGGCTGTAACGCAGTTGAAACTTGACTGTATCGGCTTGCACGTCTACCATATGACCTTATGTGTGCCTCTCTCTCCCCCCCTATTGCAGGTATCACGGACGAGCCACCACGAGCTTCGGGCAGAAAGGAGTAACCCTCTTGTACACCCCCTGCTTGACCTTGACCTGACTTTGTACCCCCGTCTTCCGGTTTCGGTTTCGGTTTAATACACGTGTGTAGTTGTCACGCTCCGGTGTTCTTCCCTGTGTGTAATATGAACGCTATGGAAGCACCGGGGGACAGTGATTCTCCGAAGGCAGGTGTTCACGACAGTTTCTGTGGATGGAAAACAGAAACAAAGCCCGTGAGCCAAAGCCCAGTAAGGAAGGTTGTACATCACCAATACTTACATAAGAATCAATCAAAATGTCAGACACCGTACATTACACTGTGTCACCCGATCTGTGCGAGTATGTGCTGTGTGTGCCGTGTGGACTCCGTAATACCAACCTCTATATCTGCACATTTCAGAACTGACGTGTGCCGTCGCTACATCCTCTGGAGCGTCGAAAACCGCTGACTTCCCGACGCCCCACGCTACAGAGCGTTGTCTTTATAGAAATTGACCGCAGGTTATTGGCACACCCAAATTGAGTTAGCCGAAACTATAGGGCTTTCTAAGTTCCCATGTTAATGGGGAGTTAGTCTAATCAATTTGCACCTTCCTGTGACATGTTGCACATAGCATTTTGTTTAAGTGAGCGAAATGTCAAGGTCATTGATCATCTCCGATTTGCACTTCTTGCCGGTTTACGCGACATAAAACACATGACCGCACCTCAGCATACTTTGGCGTTCCTCGGTGTTCCTGAAGAATAAAATAACATCTTAAGAGTATTTAATGCAAATGCCACCCTGTAGGATCAGTCGTAGGCATTTGTTTACTTTAGACAACTCAGATTCAATAAATGGGATATTTTTGTTCAGCGAACCTGCTCAGAACACATTATCCTCATGTATCTCATTCCGTTAAGTGCAATAAAGTTAGATAACACTTGCAGTGGCAGTGCGAGGGCCATCTGTGGATGATCCCCTTTTCCAGATATTCATAACTAGCTTGTAGATAATACGGTGTTACGAGATAGCTGCGGGCGTCTTTCCTGGTATAGCTATGACGTTCTATAGGGTGTGACGATCATAATGCGGTCACCACGATGACGGTAGCCGTTGTCCTCCTACCTATTGTAGCTGCTGTATCCGTGTCTCTGTGCGACGCTAATTACGGCTCCCCACATATGCGCGGCAGCCCAATCCAATGAGCAACGACGGTCCCTTGTACTCGTATCTCTACTAGTTTTCACTCATCTCGAATACCTGTTGTAACTGCTAGGCCCGCGTTTACGTACAACGTTGAGAATGAGACTGCACCTATGCACAGTAACATAATCCGACGGTCAATGACGGTCTTTTATACCCTTAACTAAACGGGATGCCGCTTGTCTTCGCTAGCTACAGTAAACACCAGTGCAATATACATGCCAACCGGCAAAAATAAGACCTCAGCTATGCGTGATAGCCACATCTGACAGCCTGGTATACTCACAACTGTACTCGAAGTCATCTAACCTGGCTATCAGTCGTACCTGTTGAGCCAGTGTCCTTGTAAATACATACCTAATCTAATGGCGAGCGATGGACCTAATACTCAAAACTGTACGCGACATCGCCTACCTTTACCACTTATTGAAACTGTTAGGCCAGAGCCTATATGTGACACTGTTTAGTAGGCCCCAGCCATGCGAAGTGTCCTGATTTAACTGCAAACGATGGCCCGTCCCACCCGTAAATGTGCGCGCTCTCGCTTATGTCTGCTACTTATATCATCTTGAGGAGCATGAAATCAGTGTTAAACACCGATCTTCACTGCCGTTCCTGCCTGCTACCTACAATTAACACTAAGCCAGTATCTATGCGGGCCGATAGAAACCAGGTTCCAACTATGCATGACATCTTAACGACCAACGGCTGCCCGTCATACTCGTAACTGCAGTTGATGTCGCCTACCTTGGCTGCTTATCGTAACTCCAAGGCCTGTGTCCATGTGCAGCGCTGAGTATAAAGCCTGTCAAAAACAAACTTGCTGCGTGGATGGTTGTGTTCCAGGTAGTAGGAAGTAACCCATAAACAGTCATGGTACCGGCGAATGTGGAACCTTGCCGGGCAAGAAGTACGACGTGTGCTACCGCGTACACGAAATCGACCATGAACTTACTAAGTGCGACGAATTCCACGGCTCCGGCTTCGTCTGCAAGGATGTCTGCTGCAACGGTAGACGGCTTTTCCATGCAAAAGTAGCGAATTGCTGCTATTTTTGGAGTTTATACAGTCGAAAACAACGTAATGTTTCGCCTGGTACTCTTTCAAAGCGACTTGAAATGCACTGAATGAGAAAAAACTTTGACGAGCTAAATTCTCCACAAAATCATCCTCCGCATTCACGTGCTCAGATATAGCAGCCATTAAAATAAGTATACCGCGGACCATGAATATCGTGAGGATTGAGTAGGTGTAAGCAACTTTCAACAAAACTGCGGCCGTTTGGGGAGATTTCATATGCCCGAAAAATTACCATCAAATCTTAAAATTTAATTTACAATTTTCCTCCTTCGAACCACGGTTTCAGAGAAATATTAGGTGTGCGTCTAGCCGCCGGCATGGAAATTGCGGGGAGTTTTGTGGAAAAGCGGGTTTCTCAAAGACACTTAGACAATAAACACACTCATTACGTCCGCGCAAACCCAAACTAGAGTGGACATTCGTGATCTGGAAATGAAAAACACTTCTATGGTTGTGGCAAGCGTCCGCCGAAGCCCAGGAATTCGTCACAGCTAGTAATTTTTGCTTTGAATGATGATCAGTATACGTTATATCTTGCTAAGGGCAAGGCTCGATCGTCACCAATACACGGAACCACCAATAATGCCGTTGTATAAACTATTGGGGTTGTGGGCAGAACAAACTGACGGCACAATTAAGTGACCACTAATTTTAAGTCCGTGCACAAATTGAGCGAACCGAAACGGTCTTGTGGCCAGCATTAGAGATACAATGAACTGCGGGTAAGCCATCGGACTGATTATGGATGTCGCGGCACCGTCATCGCGACGCCTTACTTGAGTTCGTGGACAGCTCCGTATATGAACAGATTGGATGAGCCGTTTTGGGTTGTCAGTGTGGTTGGGATATTTTTGGGCCCATTGAGGGTTCACGGTTTTTCGTTCCTACCATTCATACGAGGCAATAAAACAGCCTTGTGTACATCGAGGACCGAAAATAGGAACGTGTCTGAAACGTTTGCTGGAAAGCACCTTGATGTGAGTTGGAATGCTGCCCGAAATAACAGACAGTCAAAAGTTATCACAACTCCTAACTACTTCGATGAGGCAATACTGCAGATAATAGGTATGCAGTCGATACGAAATGTTGTGGAAATATGTAAGTGTGGACGGAGTGTATTGGCCAGATTGTGCACAACCAAGGTAGCGTGGAACTTGCAGAGACACGAAACCAGAGATACCTGGTGGAATTGCGTGTTTGTACGACAAGCAGGCCTCAGATTAGAGCTGTTACAGACCGGAGAAAAGGGTGGAGCACTGAAAAAAACAGTTGCCTGGGAGGCGTCATATCGTGTCTGTTTGGTGAGCCTCGTAGCGTCTTCTCCCCTTCCATCAATGGAGTTTTCGATTGATGGGGGAATTTCTCGGGATGTATGCCACAACCAGTTCAATCTCAGATCGGAACTAGGCGTCCGAAGAAAGTTGCTTCCATATTAGTTTTCCCTTCCTCTAGTGCAGAAGGCGGATTATGAGGTTCGTTATGCGGAAGAAGTTGGGAATAAACATTATTATTATATTTTGCGGAGAGAGCACGCAGTTGAATTGCGAGTTGTCAACCGTGCAGTTTTCTGCATCGTTGTGGACAGGAGGTGCATGAGAAATGGACATCTTACGGAAAGATTTTGGGAAATTCCGTACACAAGGCGGTGTCCGTCGATGGCGCCTCCTCTCCATTCCTACTTGCTTTCGAAATCGACGAGGTCATGAGACGAACTCTGGGATGTCTTCTGAACCCAATTTTTAAATATCATCTGCGCAAGTGTTTTTGGATGGAATGAACGAAATCATCCCGTAATTTGGCACGCAAGTTGTACCCACGAATGTCACGTTATCATAATGATGTTTATTCACAACAAATGGGTGGCTTACCGCTACGCATGATCACAAAGTTACCGTCACAAAAAGTGTGTCTGTATTTAGTTGCTGATAATGGAACAAGTGAGTGATAGTGTATCATCCGTTATGTTGACAATGAAATTCCCCACGTTTATTATGCCCCCATTTGTAACCCCCGCCCCATTTTTGTGTTTAGTGTGTATATATGAACTGACGTTTGTTTGTCCTTACCACTTCACCCATTTGGCCTTGAGGTCATCCGGCTATTTGTATCTGACTTTGCAGGTGTGACTGTCGCACGTTGGAGCCTGTTTTTCACGGATTCACGGATTGATACACAGGATCGAGGCTATTGCCCAAGTCTCCCGGGTCGGTTTTGTTCTTGTCGGTCAGTGGATGTCGTTCACTCGAAAGGCACAAGTGAAAAAAGGGTGTAGCACTGCTCTTTATGTTCTCAGCGCGGGGCAGTATGCTCGCCAGCGCGAGGATTCGCATAAATAAATGTCTAATAGTGCTTTAAATTGGGTTCGAGAAGGAGCGTGTACAACCGTCGGAGGAAGGTCATTCCACGCAGCTACTGCCCGAAATGAAAAAAAGTTTTGTCTAACGGATGTGTGTGCCCTGAGCTTGAAGATTTTCTTACTATGTCCCCGCCGGGTGTTTGCTGGGTCAACGGTAAAAAACCTGTTTGCCAAGCTTTGTTCAAACAGGGCGTAGGTAAGAATTAGGTCCCCTCGGAGGCGACGGTACTCCAGGGGAAAGAGATCAAGCATCGCGAGACGCGTTTCGTAGTCCACGGACTTGA